TAGAAGGCCACCAGGTTGGTCTGACAGGACCTGCTGCTAACAAACCCGTGTTGATTGCCCCTAAGCATAATCTCCCCTGCTGGCCCCTCGTGGACATGCGCCAGGATAACTCTCTCAAAAAGCTTACCCAGGATCAAGGTAAGACTAACTGGCCTATAGTTTCCCGGGTCCTCCTTCCTCCCCTTTTTGAAGATGGGAACCACGTGGGCCCTCTTCCAGTCCTCTGGCACCACACCAGAGCACCACGAGTGCTCGTACGGCCGTGCCAGGGGTCCCGCAATGACAGCAGCTAATTCCCTCAGCACTCGGGGGTGGAGATCGTCTGGACCAGCTGATTTAAATACATCCAGTTCCTGCAGAAGTTCCCTGACTAGATCCTCCCTGACCCTTGGCTGGTTGTCTTGGCTGAATCAGAAGGGAGGTTTGTGTGTGGAGCCTTCAGCTCCCCGGAGCAGCCCACAGAGCCAAACTGATGGCAGATTTTCCTGGAAGTTCAAGGCCGGGGTCACTGCAGCCATGGCAAAGGGGAGAGGGGAAGCCAAGGTCCAAGCTGGAAGAGGAAAGGGCGACAGGGAAGGGGCAGAGGTTACAGACCAAACAGCCACAGAGGTCAGGTCTTTGCTGATCCGTGAAGTCCAAGGACGTGGGCTGTTTCAAATGGTGCTGATGGGTGCTGAGAGCGTGAAGCTGTCGTTAACCCCTCCCCATGTCCGCTTGCTTTCTGCAGAGCGTCTGCAACACACTCTGGTGCACAGTGGGCAACACGTGCCACTCGAAGCTGGACGCGGCTGTGGACGGCACCAAGTGTGGCGAGAACAAGGTAACTCGAGGCAATCATCTGGCTTACACTCCAGCTGGGAAGATCTTGGGGGCGATGGGCTGTCGGGCACAGAGCCAGCAGTGGGGCGGCGAGTCACAGAACAGGTGTTAGCAGCTGCAGAGTGGACATGTCCAGTTGGCTTAATTTGAGAACGGCTTATACGTCCTGTACTGGAGATAATTAAACCAGCCTGTGCTTATTGCCCCACAGGGGTCTGTTGTGTTGCTGCTGCCTGCCCCGCTCTGCTAGGGTGGAAGGACATGTACATACAGGTGTGCCGTCTTTCTGTGCACGCAGGTCAGCGCAGCCAGGGGAAGGGAGAAGAGATGCAGGGGGTTGTGCTCCTGGCTTTAAAGGGGAATAGGAAAAGCCTGAGTGTCCCAGCCACGCATGAGTGGGAATGCTGACTGCAGGCAGCCCAAAACCTGGCAAAGCCCCCATTGCCTCAGACCGATGAGATAGATGAGACCTAAATGCATAAAGCAGCAGCTCATTAAGATGCATAAGAGCCAGAGCCTGTTCCGCTCTCAGATGGGTTTTTCTGGCAGCTGTTGCCCCCATGGGCCAAGTCCCAAGGAGAGGAAAAGGCCTGATGGAGGGTCTTGTTCCACCTGTTGAGGTCCAGGGCAACAGCAAAGCAAACAAGAAACTTTAGCAGCATCCGGCCTCATCTTCTGGTGTTTGCAGCCCTGCAAAGGCAAAGGAGCAGGGAGCCACCACTGTTAACGATCCTTCATGGGCTACTGCCAGCAACCCCAGGGCTGCTCTGAGCTGCACGTTGAGTCTGGAACAGCGGCCCCAGGTAGCATTAAACAGCATCAAGATCTTGTGAGCACATCTTCCCCTCCCCCTCCTGGTCCAGGCTGTTTGAGCAGCTGGTGCCAGTAGCTAAGCTTTGCTGATTTTGAAGGGCTCCAGAGGATTTGCCTGTAACATCTGCCATCTCACCCATTCTCCTTAGTTAAGCTACACTGGAGCTTTCCTGTAGAAACCAAAGGCAAAGCTGATGTCTTGGGCGTGAAATGCAAACTGTCCAGATGCTGCCCAGAGGTTCAGGGCACCAGGGAGCTTTGTTCCTGCCAGCAAATCCTAAACTAAGCATGTATCCCCACTCTTATTTTCCCTGTGAGCTATGGGAGCACAGCTGAGGTCAGAAGACCTCTCCCCTGGGATGCACCAAGCTGCCCAGCTCACATCTGGGTGCAAACACAGCTATGAATCCTCAGCAAGAATCTGCATTTCAAAGACAGGTTGCCCTCTGAGAGGTTTCTCACTCCAGGCTCCCAGTGTGTCCAGGGAGCACCTTGTACAGCTGCTAACCCTTCGCTGTTCTCACTCTTTGTGTTGCTTCGCAGTGGTGCTTCAATGGCGAGTGCGTGCCAGTGGGCTTCCGCCCCGACGCCATCGATGGCAGCTGGGGAGCCTGGAGTTCCTGGGCGAGCTGCTCGCGGACGTGCAGCACTGGCGTGCAAAACGCGGAGCGCCAGTGCAGCAACCCCACGTAAGTGAGCACTCTCCCTCTGGCTGGATGGAGTCAGAGTCCCCATGGGGCTGTTCCCAGCTCGCCGTGCAGGGCCGAACACCTCCTGCTCCTTTAAGTGCCTCCCTGCCCTTAGCACAAGCTGCTTGGATCTTGGCTTAGCAATGCATTATACAGACAAACAGCCAAGAGGTGATCCATGGGCCAAAAGGGCATTTCCATGGGCTCTTATTTTATCACCGTGTTAAACAGCTTTCCTGCGTGGCAATACAGGCAGTTCATGGGATGGGTTTATTTTCCACTGCTGCAGTAAAAGGCTGGTGGATTGAGGTTTTGATGTGTTTTTTGTATACAAGTCTACCCAATAAGCCCAGGCAGAAAGCATGTGAGAAATGGTTCAGAGATGATGGGAAGACCCTTGTGAAGTTACCCACATGTCGTGACCTTTGTTAATCCCCACAAGAAAAAAAAGCAGAATATTTCTTTAAGCAAAAATCACCTGGAAAATGTCTGGTGCTGTTTGCTGCCCATTGTCTGCTCCCAGCAGTTTATGCAGTTTTTAATGTGTGTGCTCCAGCCAGAGGATTTCCTGCTCTCAGGCTTTATTGTGGCAGCAGCCAAAGGTGATATAAGGAAGGTAACTCTGCCATGAAAACCACTGGACAACAGGCTGTGACACAGCGCTGCGCTGTCCCCCACTCAGGCTGATGCTTCTGCTCCCCATGTGCCTCTTCCCCTGCAAGACTGTTGTAGTGTAGGAGAAGCAAGAACTTCCCAGGTCCCCGGGCAGGTAGCGAAAGCCCTGGGACCCAAAGTGAGAAGCAGGGGTTGCGTGTGATCCAGGCTCTGAAGGATATGAGGCCACGTCATGCCACCAGTTTGCAAGTGGAACTTGCTGTGATAGTCCTCAGAGGAGCAATTCTTGCCAGGCGGTGGCACACAAGACAGAGAGGTTTTCACTATCCACCCACCAGAAAAAGGGCCAAGGTCAGCAGATAGACCTGATGGCCAGGAAACCAGGGACCTCCCTCACAGTCCCTTGCAGTGAGACATTTGCACAAGGGTCTGTCCTGCCAGAAGTGCTTTCACGGGCTTTTCCAGATGGCAGAGCTGATGGCAGATCTGTGCTGTCAGCGTCCTGGCAGGGAGGGTCCCTGGAGACCCTGGCCTACCCACATCATCTCCAAAGAACAAGGCGATGCAGCCTGAGCCCCCATGGTATTGTGCCTGGACGCGCCATCTCCATTGCACCCAGAAAAGTGCACTGCCTTCTTTCTAGGAGCTGGCATGGAAAGCAGGAGCGAAAAGGCAGGACCTGCTTCATGGTGCCTTCCCAGACATGGCAAACCTGCCCTAGCCATGTAGACCTCGCATGACTCCATAACACTCCCTCGCTCAGTGTTGTGACTGACTGCATGTGCCAGTGGTGGGTCTAAAACACAATCAGCAATGTTATGGCCCTCATTTAATTTGGGGGAATCGGAGGGGGGTTGGAATCCAGTCTTTTCCGACTTCAGAATGCAACCAGAGTCTGTTTCCTGGCTAAGCTCTCCAATTAAGTCCAGTATTTTATCCTGTACCAGTGAACAAGGTGCAAAACAAATGCACAAGACCTTGCTCCTAGGCCTAGAGCAAGGTGTGAGTTGGGCATGCATTCTGCAACAGAAGCGCAGGGTGGTTCGCAGAGTGCTTTACACACAGGCACCGGCTCATGGAGAGCAGCCATGGCAGAGCTCTCCCAAGGGGACTCTTGCTTTCGACTCCTGGGAGTTGAATAGCTCTTGGCTTTGCTCCTTGATGAAGTGAGGAAAGGTTGCATAGGTGTCATGTTTCCTTCTTTTGGTGCTTCCATAATGCTAAAAAATATATACATTTCCCTGCATAGCGTATTTTCCACATAAAGGGATGGATTGGAGGAGATGTCACTTTCTAATGGTCATGTGGAAGGGTATCAAACAATATCGCATGGCCATCCTTACTTGCCAAACTGTGATGGACCAGGGAACAGCTGCGAATGGTTTGGCGGAGTCCAGGCATTGGAAAAAAAGACATAATTGCTTTTGACGGGGGGAGGGGAATTCTACTTAATAAAAAGCCTCGGACAAATTCTTTTTTATTTTCCTTTTGGATGCATTTTCCCATGGTCCCCTAGAAAACAAGGCAGAACTTAGACCTTCAGGACAGGATGGAAATTGTTTCCATCCTTTACAAACCACTGGCACAGAGGCCCTGATCGAAAATCCCCCAAAGTCAACAAGAAGGTTCCTGTCGAGTCCCCAGGGCCTTGGCTCATCTCCTTACTGAAACATCCTTCGTCTATGCAAATAGTTTATCAGCTCTAGATGTCGTCCTAGCTGGTCTGTGATCCGGTCCTGAAATTCGTGCTCACACGAGTGGCCCCCCCCAAAACCATTTCCTGTGTCTTTATTATGTCTTTGTTCATGTGAATAGGGGTGAAACCAGCTGTTGTGGGAACCAGAGCCAGAGGGCGCGAGAATGGTCACTTGTGAACATTTCGGGAAGGTGGTCCTGGACCCCCAGCTCAGCCAGGCCTTGACCTCTCACGTCAGACCACTGTCAGAACAGCTTGTTAGGGCTCATTCCTCCAGAGCGAGAGCAGGGCTTGCATGGCCCAAGTGGTGGCGAGAGCTGGTTGAAAGATTTCTGTTCTTCATAAAAATCTGTTCTTCATCGAAAACACAGGCAGTGTTTGGGTGTCCCCCCTTGCCTAGCCAGCAGGTTGAAATGCATCTGACAGCCCTTCTGGGAACTGTCTGCATAACATGAATCCTGTTGTCACCCATGCAGACACAGTCTAATGAGATCGCTCATGCCACGAGTATCAGACCCCAATTTGACTTGTACAAGAATAATATGCATAGCAAATGAGGGGATAGCAGCCTGTTTTTTGCTGGGCACTGAATGATTATAAAATAGTGCTTCTCCAGGGAGTATATATTCAGTTCAGGTAGCTGAGAGGTGAAAATGAATGTCCTTATTTTATCCCCTGGAGGGGTCTAGGAAGCACTTCTTGCTAGTGTCTTGTGGGTGTTGTGTCTAACCGTGGTGTGTGATTTGCACTGTGCATGTTACACACAAGACCACGTGCCCAGCTGTGAGATCACTTTAAAATCACAGACAATGAGGGTTGGAGGGAGCTCAGGAGGTCACATCTAGTCCAACCCCCTGCTCCAAGCAGGACCAGCCCCAACTACATCATCCCAGCCAGG